CGTTAATGCGTTTGGAATAATCTCGTATTTTGAGTTGTCGGCCATCTTTTTATGATGCTAATAATTTGAAAAAATCGTTAGTTATTTAGCGCTTACATTTGCACCCGGGGTCCAAGGTTCGAATCCCGGAAACGGTATCTCCTTCAAGAAGTAAGGCCGCGTACATATGAGATTGAGCTTTCTCCCGAACCTGTCATAGTACGGGAACTTCTTTAGCACTGGGGTCCACCTTTTTAGACAGATTGTATAAATCTCCTATTGGAAAGTACACCTTGTTTTCTCAAAAGTTTGAAAAGAAAAATCTTCTGATAACAAATTGTCTTACGTAATATATTATAAAATCTAAAGAAAATCACTTATTGCCGGTATACTTATCACTTCTAGCACTTTATATAAAATACTAGCTAGATGTTGATTTAGTGGCTCGCCTATATGTAGCTACTAGTATATATGTGAGAATGTATTAAGCATTAAGGGATCACTCATTACAAATTGAATAGGGCGACCATTGAAGCATTATAAATTGCTTGCTTTAATTTAATATATAGCACACAACAAGAATTACTTATAAACACTTCCCAAGTATAGATCAATCTACTGGAATTGCCAATTAAAGATCCTCATGAGGTTACTATGGCTCATCTTAGGCTTAGCCTTTTGCTTCCTTCTTCTTTCCAGTCCATATCTTATGATCTGGTACGTACTAGTTTTCACATCGCAAGTTAATTAACCTGGAAATAGATCATCATCTAATTAATCTAGTTTACAACAATTAATTATTCTTTCTACCTTTTTTTTTTTCTCTGTCCCACTCCATGACAGGGCGAAGAATATTGATCATCATGGTGACTCTTCTTCCGATCATTATGACAAAGCAAAAGAACACCATCCCGATAGCCGCTATCACCCCATCCCTCCGTCGCACTTTAGATCTTATCGCTTGGTGCCGCCAACTGTTGGCGCTCCTTCTGGTCCATAAACAATACTTCTACGAAGGATTCCAACTTCAACGTGTGCTACAACAACATTGTACAACATATGCATATATATATATATGTGATATATGTGTGTAATTATATACACGTACATGTAGGGCCTGTTTTGTTTGTTGATTCGAGTTTTTAATTTGAATTGAGATGTGACTTCAATTTTTTTCTCTCAAATTTAATCTCTTCTACACTCTTTACTCCCATTACTATACGTAATCCTCCCTTCATCAACTTGGCCGCCGCTTCCAAGAGCATCACAGTCATACTCGTACGTCACCGGCCGTTGTGACCTTGCCTTCATATCCGCTACTACACCATGACCATCAAAATGGATACTTTGTTAATCTTTAAAAATTTCTTTTCTTTGAGATTAGTTTTTTTTTTTTTGGATTTAGAATTTTTTTTTGAATTAATTAGGCATTTTTGTTGTTAGATTTCACAGAGACCTTTGGTTTTGAAATAATTGTGTTTTAAATTTATTGATTATGTATGAGAAGGTCAATTTGTAACATGTTGTTTTGATTTTTTTCATATGTGTTGTTCAACGACTTGTGATAACATTCGAAGACATAATTTTTTTGAGCAAAGAATTAGGCCATGTATGGAATTGATTCCATTTTTATTTTTTACGTTTTTCAAGAAAGAAAAAATGAAAACGTTTTCAAAACGACTTTTGGCACAATAAAAACAAAAAACAGAAATGAAAACGATTTTTTAGTTTAGTGTAAAATGAGAGAAATGAAAAATGACTTTTAGTCGTTTTTTATTTTTTATTTTTGTTTCTCCTCTCTCGAGCAGAGAAAGAGAAAGAGAGACAATAATGGTTTTTTTACACTGAAAACAATCTCTTGATAAAACTACTAAACGCATTTTTAAAAATGATTTCTGTATGAGATTGAAAACGTTTTCATTCTCATTTTCATTTTCATACAAAAAATAAAATCATTTTCAAACGAATTCCAAACACGCCCTTAGTTTTCGGTAAATATATATATATATATATATATTAATTTTTAATACTTTTAACGACGATTTTTTTAAAAAACCGTCGTTAAAAGTTGATATTACACGATGATTTTTTTTAAAAACCGTCATCTAATATGCCTTTTAAAGCTCTTGAGGTGTCTCACGTGTGTATTAAACGACGGTTAAAAACCATCATCGTATCTCTTGGACATTTAACGACTCTAGATACAACGACGGTTTTTGAACTGTCATCTTATCTCCTATTTAAAATACTCGAGTCATATACCATCTAAATACAAACATAATTATAGTCATATAAAGATATTGGTTCACCCCACTTAAACAAATAAACTTTTTAATATGGAAGCCCAATACCTTATAAAGTGCAATTCCTTTCTTTTCTTTTTCTTCTCATCTTCTTAAAACTCTAATATGGTATCAGAGTCTATTGCTCAAACGGGATGGGTCGATCCATCAAAAATATGAAATTAGTAACTCCTAACAGAGCACCATCTTGCGAGAGCGTGTTAAAGGTAAAATACCCGAGTCCCACATCGTCTAAATACAAACATAATTATAGCCATATAAGGATATCGAACCGCCCCACTTAAACAGATTAACATTTTAAAATGAAAGTCTAATATCTTATAAAGTGCAATTCCTCTCTTTCACTTTTCTTTTCATCTTCTTAAAACTCTAATTATCCACAATATAATCAGGAGTTTCCTCTACCCAAAAGCGATAATAATCTAAAGAAAGAGTAAATTGTGATAGTGTGTAGGTTGCTCGAAATGGTGGCAACCATTAATATATTAGTTAAAATTTGTTTCTTGTTTCTTGTTTCTTGTTTCTTGTTGATATATAATATTTCGATGTATTTGTTTGCCAATCAAAATAAATGTTTGACTACCGACTTATGAATTATCGTATGAAAATTCAAGATAGTGTTGTACTCGTTTATGTCTGTGTTTGAGGGATCTATGTTTTAAGATTGGGTGTTTCTAGTGGAGTTAAAGACATGGTACTTCTCTTTGATTATTAGCGGGCTAGTCTTGATCAATGAGTGTACTTTTTTTTTTTTTTTTATTTTATGCTTTTCCAACTTTGTTCTTCTGGCAATTTTATCTTTTGGATTTGATTGCACAAAATAGCATCAATTTTGCTAAACGATTTAATCTAAAACCCTGGGGTGATTAAGGTTTTGAATAGAAAACCTTTTTCATAATGGTGCTTGACACTTTTTTTTTACTTATCACACCTCTTTTTAATATGGTTAAAATACCATTAATACAATTACTTTTAAGATAATAATATTTTAAGAAAAATGTCTTTTACACACCTTATCATTAAAAGTCTCCCCACAAAAAGATACATGGTTAAATTTTGGAGAAGCCCACGGTTGACTTTCTTCTTGGAACAGAAGTTTATAACCTCTGAAGAAGCCATCTTTTCAAGCAGAGTTTGGAACAAAGCAGAGAGAAAAGCTCCCCCAGCCACTTCAAGGGCCATTTTGATTTCCTTCTTCAGAAAAAGGATGTCAAAAGATGAAAAGAAATCAGTGCTCTCTCTCTCTCTCTCTCTCTCTCTCTGAACTCTCTCTCTCTCTCAATAACAAACGGCTGGAGAATTGAGGGCAAGAGTTGAATAATCAGTTTTTAATTCAGGGATGAACTTTAGTCTCCTCTATTGCTTCTTCCTTTTTTTTCTTGTTAGCGCGTATCCTTCTAGGAAATTATTTTTATTTTATTTGTTTGTTTATTTATTTTGCTAGGAAGCATGAGTCTGACTTGGTATGGTATTTCCATGACTATGCTGAGAAAGTGACCACGCTCTACACGGATTTTTCTGTAAAAAATATTGATAGCTCTTAAGTCATAACTTATATAAATAACATTTTTTTTCCATCGAACTTAACTGCAATAACCTGTTGATCATTAAAGTTTTTAGAATTGCTCAAATCTTTCCTCTTAAAAGAAAAAAGAAAAAAAAGAAAAAAAAAAAAAGGAACAGTTTAAGCCACTAACAAATGCATAAACGATGTTTTTGCCCATCAAACATCATACAAACAACCAATATTCTTTTTGGAAAATTCCATTTTCATCAACGATATGCATAAACATTAATCTATTCAAAAAATTCCTCCATGTAGTATCCATGTGCACAAAAACACAAATATATAAATATGAAAACATTTCTTGTGCATTATCTAAACACTAAGGGCTTGTTCTTTTGAGTGAAAAACTCAAAAAAATGCAATTTGAGTTACAACTTTATTTGAGTTCATGTTCTTTTAAGTTTAAACTCGAGTTTAGGACTAAAACTCGAATTTAAGTTTCCCCTTCAACTCGAGTTCAAAAACTCGAACTCAAATTAATGAACAATATTTTTTCTATTCTTAAAAATGCTATAACTTTTTCGTTTTAAATCTGATTGAGATGATTTTTTTTCTATACGTTGACAACGAAAAGACGAATAAAACCCAACCCATATACCTTATTAAAATTTTTCATCAGCATTAAGTTTTTATTAAAATACTATCTAAATACAAATTCAAGTTTTGACTCACTCAAACACAAACTCAAAAAGATTCTTATCTCAAATCATAACTCAAATGTACACAACCAAACACAAACTCAAGTTACAAGTTTAACTCAAGTTATAACTCAAATTCAACTCAAGAATTAGACTCAAGTTAAACTTCAAAAGAACAAGCCTTAAATTTACACGGAGTATCTAATCACACCAATATGACCAAAGGATTGCAATAAAAATATGCCTAAACGACTCCCTTTTTTTTTTTTTTCAAAACATATCTTCAGTTTCATATTAAGTAAAGGGGAAAAATATAGATGCAAAAAAGGGATTGCCAAAATCTTCCATGATATTTAGCAAATTTGCTGAAAAAGCAGCAGGTATAAATTAGCCGCACCACTGTCCTTCATGGGCTAACATCTCTTTCCCTGGTAACCTTAGAAAGGGTAATGCAGATCCTCTAAGTTACAAGCATTTGTATGGAAAGACCAGTCACATGTGATGAAGAATGAGTCGATGACAATAAGAAACGCTTTCTATTCAAAACTTTACCCCTCATAATTCATAAAGCATTTTAGATAGGGAGATTGTCTAGCAAAACTGAGACTATTTTGTCCAATCGCTTCCAAAAGAGACAGAATAAACCCTAACTAATTGTGATACAATTGCCAGAAGATCAAGGTCGAGAAAAAGGGCATAAAAAAGTACACTCATCAAGACTAGTTTTCTTCGAACTCGCAAAGGGTATTGCACCATGCTATCTGCAAGAAGTCACCAAAAAAAATCTGCCCTGACCATGGAAACTACGAAGCACAAGCTAAAAATGAGATATACATGCCTGTCCCTAGCTGAAGTCCCCACCGATATACTCATTTCTCTTTCTTAGCCAAGGCCTCTCCTTTGCACTCACTGCCAGCAGTGACCACAAAGCCTGCTCCAACCTGGAACAAAAGCTCAATATAAATGTAAGATGCCAACTGAAAGTGTAGAGAGAGGGAGAGAGAGAGAGTGTGTGAGTGTTACTTGGCAATCTTTCAATACAACTCGCTCTTGGAGCTGGACATTACTGCAAACCACTGAACCATTAATGGAACAGCCATCCCCAATGGTAACATGATTCATGACAACTGAATTAACAACCTGCAGAAATCAAGAAAATAGAGAGTAAAAAACTTGAGAACTCAAAATTTAGGACTTGCACAGAAGAAAATCACTATCAATGTGAACGTGCCATCAACTAATGCCGGAAAAGCAAAAACAGCTTATGCTACTCATTCCGTCATTTTATACTGAGGAATCATTATACCTTCACATTAGAACCTATCCGGCAGTGACGGCCAATAACAGATCGCTTTACGCTGCACTTGTCACCCATTTGTGAACCTTCCCCCAGCATACAATATGGTCCCACCTAAAATTATTTCAAGCCCCAGGTAAGTGTAACAATAATGACTTTGCAATGGAAAGGGGTTGCAACAAAAACTTCCAGAATCCATTACCTAAAAGAACTCGTATTGATTTTTGTAATCTAATATTTACATTAGTAAATGTCCAACAGACTTACAGTTGTTTTAGATCCAAGCTCTGCTGAAGGATGGATGATATTATTTTGGGCAGAGAAAGAATACCCTGACAAATTCCTGGCCTCTCCTATGACCTGCCACATTAAAAAGAGGAAACATGCTATAACTGCTTGATAGAACTACACCCCATGGTGGCAGAACTCATAATAAGAAAAAAAGAATGAACCAAAACCTCGGAAAGATACACGTTTTTTTTTTCCCCCCTCAAAGAAGCTCAGTCAAACTCACGTCTCGGTTAATGTCACTGAATGCTTGGATGGAGTTTAATCGAGCACAGTAGTTGTTGCTGCTAGCTATATAGACACAGCATTTATGAGTCCTTCGGACAGGATCAGATCCATTAGGACCCACAGCATAGAGTTGATGAAAACTTGGTTTTGATGCATTAGCCAGGATCTGAGACTGGATTAGTTGGTTAGTCTGGGAACCAACCTTCCCATTTCCATTTTCTTCAGGTTGTGGTACATCGTTCAACAATACTTCCGATCTCTAGTGTTCAGGAAAGAAATGAAAATTACTTCATAAACCTTATAGAAAAGCGTAACCACAAGTAAACTATTTGCAGTTGCAGGGTCCAAGTTTAACAAACCAGCTGGCTCCTGACTAGATAAGGCAACACATCTCGCCTCAAACTATGAAATGTCTCCTTTTGATAAAGAACTTCCTGCAAAACAGACCTGGGAGGGAATCAGGAAGTCACCAGAGGATGTAACCATACCAATTTGCATAGAAAGTAAATACATGATATTAAAAAATAAAAAGGGGAAAAAACCTCTTAAATGCATATAAATGAGCATCCATGAGATCTGCTCGAATTTCCATCTACAAGAGAGCGAGAAGAAAACAATACATGTGAAACAAGCGCAAACCCATCAACTCGAATACCAAAAAGAAATCTTACTTCAGTATACCTTTCTTGATATATACTAGATAGATGCATCTCTTTTTCAAAAAGAATAGCTAATTAAAATACTAAATAACAAATACTTAAATACTAATAAATAAACGAGTATGACCCGCGGTTGATCACCAATACATTTTTGTACCCAGAAAATGCCCCTTTAAGAAGTAATATATTGAATAAGAAACTCAAATGCCTTGGCATTCAAAAAGGCAAGACTAGAGGTGAAGCAATAACTCGTATTTTGGTTGACCAAGGAAAGCAAAAAACATTAGATGTTTTAACATTACCAAGCAGGTGAGAACGGCTTCAAAAAATGAGAGATGCACAGATGGAAATTCATTACCTGCCCGGCTGCACGTAGTATGCTTTTCTGAATTCGAATATCCTTCTCAAGTTCTGCTCCTGTTTGTAGCCAAAAGATGCAAGTTGAGAAACTCGTCATTTAATCTGGTTAAATAAAGACACGAGAAAACTAAAGATGTAATCTAACCAGTTGCTATGTAGAGTAAAAACTGTTTTGTAGGGTCCAACCCAATCAGGTTGTAGCGTCCAGTTTTCCTGGTTTTGTCCTTCCCGCCAGAAGATCCTGACTCTAAAGGTCCACTCACAGGAGTAGAGCAAAGCATTGCTGTTACTACTGCATCATGCCGTCTATGAGCAGCAGCCACTGCACCAGGAGGAACATCAGAAACAATATCACCACTCACAACCTGCAAGAACAGAAGAGCCAATAGCTATAGAGAAGCAACTCTTCAGAACTCAAAACAAGGCAGGAATGGCGGTTCTAACCAAAATATCATTTGCCGTCAGATGATGGGAAATTGCCCGGATTGCACCAGCTGTTCCTACATCCTCAGGAACTGCTGCAACCTGCAGCATATAGCAAAATTTCTAAGCTCTTTTTGTCTTCATAAACCATTGAATACGGAGAAATGAGAATTAAATGCTCTTATATACAGCTGAAATCATTAGCAATAGCAAATAATTGTGAGGTCCTATAAAGCTGACAAAATCCAGTGTACAAGAAAAAAAAAATAGTAAGATTTCAAGAAAAGGGAGCAGTAGTGTTAGGAGTCTACTAAGTCGTACAAAAGCAATTATATTTCCGCACAAACACACCCACACACACACACACAAAAAGGAAGGACCTTCGAGTTGTAGCCAATCTATTTATATTTAACCCTAACCAATCTTCCCATTGCAGCAAGAAATCAAATACAAGTGTGATAGGTTCTAAGGCTTCTTTCACAGTACAAGAAAAGAAAAGAGCAAAAATGAACAAGAATCAATAACTCTTATTGAATTATAGACAAATGTACACAACCACAGTTCTTCGAGGGACTGCAACCTCCCAACTGGCCTAATTGCCAAGCTCCTCACCAATTCTCTCTCTGGATAACCCCCCGTACCCCCTCCTCTTCTTCTATTTATTCCACTGCTCATGCCCTCCCATTCTGTTGTAACTAACTCTCTGCCCCTTAACCCTTCCCCTCTAACTTCCTCTAATCCTGTTACAAGCAATTCTATACAAGCAATTCTATTTACACCTATTTCCCCTTCCTAATGAAAACTTGTCTAACCAAAGGCTTGGTCTTATCAATTACTCCGCCCCCCAAAAGAGTCACCTTGTCCTCAACGTGAAAATCCGGAAACTGTTGTTGTATGACATCAAACAACTCCCAGGAGGCCTCAAAATCAGGCAGATCCTTCCACTTGATCAACACTTCCAACTGGCCGGTGTTAGGAGAAAAACAAGTATCCAAGAGTTGTGTTGGTTCGACACGTAATTTGGAATCCGCAGAAAGGAGGTAAGGAAGCTCCTGGGAAGTATCCGACAATCCAATAGCTCGCTTGAGTTGTGACACATGAAAAACGATACGCCACCGGACCCACGCAAGCCAGGATCTTATATGGGCCATAAAACTTAGGAGATAATTTCTCGTTGACAAACCTGGCCAACAAACGATGACAATACGGCCGTAGCTTCAAGAAAACCAAGTCGCCCACCTGAAAATTGACGTCCCTACGTTTGAGATCGGCCCTCAGTTTCATATTATGCTGAGCCTGCAACAAATGCATCTTCAACTCATCCAAAAGAGCGTCCAGGGACTGAAGTTGTTGTTCCAACAACGAATTGGCAGCTGAGCCACTCTCAAAGCGAAGCAACCTAGGAGGGTCACGACCGTAAAGAGCTCGGAAAGGAGTCATTCCCGCCGCGACATGGTCACTTGTATCATACCAATATTCTGCCCACGGCATATGGGAAAACCATTGGCCGGGTTAAGTCGACACGAAACAACGAAGGTAACCCTCCAGACATCGATTCACCACCTCGGACTGGCCATCTGTTTGAGGATGATAGGCAGTACTCCGGTGTAAAGAAGTGCCCTACAACTTGAATAACTCAGTCCAAAAGTGACTAAGGAAGACTTTGTCTCGATCTGAAATGATGGTTCGAGGAAAACCATGGAGGCGTACGACCTCCTTCACAAATAAGGCAGCCACCGATTTGGCCGAGAATGGATGGCGCAGTCCGAGAAAATGAGCATACTTACTCAAACGATCAACCACCACTAATAGTGTGTCATGGCCCCCGGATTTGGGCAAACCCTCCACGAAGTCCATCGTAATATCATCCCAAACCTGAGTCGGAAGAGGAAGTGACTGGAGCAGACCAGCCGGAGAAAGAGTAGAAGCCTTATGTCGCTGACAAATGAGGCAAGCAACCATGAACGAAATGACATCTTATTTCATTCCCAACCAAAAGAACTCCGAAGCTAGCCGTTTATAAGTTTTTGAAACCCCCGAATGGCCACCCACCTTACTGCCATGGAACTCTTTCAACAAAACCGGAATGATGGAAGATTTTTTTGGAATCACCACACGATCCCTATAGAGCAGTAAATCATTCCCCGAGGTGTATCCTTTCACTACCATCGGATCAGCTGACAATTGAACCCTAATTTCAGCCAACTTCGAATCCAGAAGCACTTGTTGGCGGATGGTGTCCCAATCAAAGGCAGCCGTGGAACTCAGACGCTTGAGCTCCAAATCTGAGGGTTTCCGAGACAAAAGCATCAGCCACTCGATTCTCTAAACCCAGCTTATATTGGATTTCAAAATCATACCCCCATAACTTGCACAACCAATGTTGATGCTCCCCACTCACTAATCGCTAGTCCAGTAAGAACTTTAGACTTTTCTGATCAGTCCGCACAATAAAGTGTCGACCAAGTAGATAGTGATGCCATTTCTGAATAGCGAGAACCACTGCCATCAATTCTCGCTCATAAACGGACTTTGCGCGAGCCCTGGCCGACAAGACCTGACTGAAATAGGCAATTGGTCGCTGTTGCTGCATTAAGACTGCTCCAATTCCGAACCCAGAGACATCCGATTCCAACACAAACGGCGGAGAGAAATCTGGTAAAGTGAGAATAGGCACCGTTGTCATGGCCGTTTTCAAGCTTCTGAAAGCTTCCTCGGCCAACTGTTTCCAATTGAAACTGTCCTTCAACTGCTGGGTTAATGGCCAGGCTATATGTCCATAACCAGCCACAAACCTTCTATAATACCCTGTGAGACCCAAGAATCCCCGCAACTCCTTAATAGAACGAGTTGGCCAATCCAACATAGCAGAAATCTTGGTAGGATCTGCAAATACCCTCTCACCGGAAATGATATGACCAAGATATTCTAATTGACTTTGAGCAAACGTACACTTTTTTTGGTTAACATACAATTGTTGCTCCTCTAATGTTGCCAACACCAAATCCAAGTGTGTCAAATGTTCATCAAAAGAGGTGCTATAGATCAAAATGTCATCGAAAAATACCAAAACAAATTTCCTCAAGAAGGGTTTTAATGCCTCATTCATCAATGATTAAAAAGTGGCAGGGGCATTAGTAAGGCCAAACGGCATCACTAAGAATTCATTGTGGCCCTCATGGGTACGAAATGCCGTCTTCGGAACATCCTCGTCATCCATCCTAATTTGGTGATAACCGGCCTTTAAGTCCAATTTAGTAAAAACGGTTGCCCCACCCAATTCATCCAAAAGCTCCTCAATTACCGGTATGGGAAATTTGTCAGGCACCGTAGCTTTGTTGAGCGCTCGATAGTCAACACAAAAGCGCCAACTTCCATCTTTTTTCTTAACTAAGAGCACGGGACAAGAGAACGGGCTTGTACTTGGTTGGATTATTCCGGCTGCGAGCATCTCCTTTACCAACTTCTCTATCTCGTTCTTTTGGAAATTGGGATATTTATAAGGACGAACGCTAATTGGGCTTGTTCCTCCTTGATGTGGTGCAGTGGTCATGCGAACGCCGAGGAGGTAAACCCACCGGCATATGTAAGACCTTGGAATGCTGCTGCAACAAGTGTTGCACCGGTTCTTGAAGTGGACTTTCTGTGTCGGAATCAACCCGTAAGGTGCTCAACTCCAAGTAGACTCCATGTCCCTCTTGTTTAATAGCGCGGAACATTGCCTTAAGAAAAACCATGGCCTTAGAAAGGCTCGTATCCCCTTTTAAAATCACGTGTTCCCCACCTACTTTGAACTTCATAACTTGAGACTTCCAATTGACATGCATCCCTCCCAAAGTTTCCAATCATTGCATGTCTAAAATACATCGACTCCCCCCAATTCCAATGGCAGAAAATTCTCAACAATTGTCAAATTCGGTAGAGTCAAAACTACTTCCCTACAAAGCCCCTTTCCTCGAACCGATTCCCCCGTTCCCACTTGTACACCAAAACCAATAGTAGGAACAACAGGAATAGCTAACTTTTTCACAGTATCCAAAGAAATGAAATTATGCGACGCACCGGAATCAATCAAAACAATTACCTCATGTTGGGCGATGGTACCACAAAGCTTCATGGTCTTTGGAGTGGATAAGCCCACCACCGAATTCAAGGAAAGTTCAATAACCTCCTGTTGAACTTCCTCCAAAGCCTCCCACGGTTGTGCTTTGTCTAGCTCTTCCCACTTAGCCTCATCCTCATCACTAACCAACATGATCCATAATTATTTCTTCTTACATCGATGTCCCATGGTGAACTTCTCATCACAGCGAAAACACAAACCTCTCTCTTTTCTCTTGCAACTCGGAATCCGAAAGTTTCCGAAAAGTAAAATCCTTCTTTTGAGGCACGGCCTTCTCTGTTACTATCGGAAAACGGGGTAGGCGTTCTGCCCCACCATTGGCTTTTGTGGACAAGGTGGAAAACTCTCCCTGAGTAACTCCTAGTTGTTGCGCCCGTGACCATTTCAGCCCAGTCACCTCCCTTCGCAACAACTCATTCTTCTCTTCTATCCGCTGCGCTATTTCCATAATCTCTCCTAACCCATATGGCTTCAACAGCCTTAGTTCAGCCCAAACTTCAGCCCTAAGTCCATTAAGGAAATTCCTTCCAATATTTCCTCCGGAACATCCCTGAGCGGAGCTGCCATAATTTCGAACCTCCGGCGATAATCAGCCACCGTCCCATCTTGCCTAATCGCCAGAAACTTTTCGCATAAACTACCAGCCTGAGACGAACAAAAGTGCTGCAAGAGAGCCATCTTAAAACTCCATCCAATTAAAGAAAGGCCTTCTCCCATTTTGCCATTGAAACGAGGACAAAGCTTCATTGTCCAAAGCTATTCCTGGCGTAATCAATTTCTCCCTTCTGAACAGCAATTGATAGCAAAAAACTGTTCCATCCTGAACACCCAACCGTCTGGATCATCTCCACTGAAAACCGGGCATTCTACGTGCCGCCGGCGGTTAGCCATCCATTCTTCGTCCTCAAGAACTTCTTCTCATCCTCCCATGTTTCTCCTAACTTCTCTGTTACTCCCTTCCCCATGCGGAAAACCAGCCCTAGCAAATTCCCGCCGACCTTCCTCTCTCGTTCCTCCTCGCCACGCCTCTTCGCCATACCCGCGAGCGCCAACTCCACCGCCGTTCCTTCGGAATCCCTCCTCCCCAGTCGCGCCCCACCAATCACCTTAATACCCAAGGGTTTCCTCCCTCTAATTCCTCACCGGCACTTCCCGTCCACCGTCACACCTAAGAATCTCCTCCCTCGCGACCTCTTGCCCAAAGTCTCACGGAACCCTACGATCCACGGCGCGATTCTCCTCCTTCGTACCTAGTACGACTTCCACTCGAAGCCCATCCACTTCACCGGAGTTAATCGGTGCTGCTCTGTCGTCTATCGCCGTCGCGATCGTCTTTGCCTTCTCCGGCGCCAGAACTGCCGACGAAGGATTCTTCATGTGTTCCTCCCAGAATCAACGAAGATCAGTCAGGCTTTGAATCAACTTTGCCTTAACCTCGCCCACCTCCGTCTTCATCGCTTCTCTTATCTCCTTGATCTCCTTCTCGACGGTTTTGAATCTCTCCTCCGTCTTCTTGGCCGCCATAATCACCAAGAAACGTTGCTCTGATACCAAAATGATAGGTTCTAGGGCTTCTTTCACAGTACAAGAAAAGAAAAGAGCGAAAAATGAACAAGAATCAAGAACTCTTATTGAATTATAGACAAATGTACACAACCACAGTTCTTCGAGGGGCTGCAACCTCCCAGCTAGCCTAAGCCAAGCTCCTCACCAATTCTCTCTCTGGATAACCCCCCGTACCCCCTCTTCTTCTTCTATTTATTCCACTGCTCATTCCCTCCCATTCTGTTGTAACTAACTCTCTGCCCCTTAACCCTTCCCCTCTAACTTCCTCTAATTCTGTTACAAGCAATTCTATTTACACCCGTTTCCCCTTCCTAGCGAAAACTTGTCTGACCAAAGGCTTGGTCTTATCAAAGTGCACATCAAAATAATTTAGACCGACAGAAGCATTGGCCAATGCCTCTATCTAGAAGAGAAGTAATATATGTTTGTCAATACCCAGTTTCTTTCCTTTTTATTTTTCGTTTTGGTTTGGTATTCTTTTTTTTTCCGTTGTGCTTTTTGCTACAGTGGAAAGGATAAGACGAGTGAGGCTCATGAGCAAGCAGCGTAACTTTTAACTTTTAGGGTACACTTGATTGCATTGTTGAAATGGTAATGGTAGTTGAATAGAAATGAAAAGTAAATTAATGCATTTGATTGGTTGAAATTTTTTAGGGAAAACCACTTAGTGGCAACAATGTCACTAGTACTTTTAGAAATTGTGACCAGATGATCATGTATAAAAAAAATAAATAAATAATAATAATAATAAATAAATAAATAAAAATAACCAATCTTAATTTTTGGTTGGTTTTGGGGTTTTAAGACTTAATTGGATGGTGTCAGGTTGTATGAGTACCTAGTCTAAGAATTTCTAGATTCTGTGAAGTATGAAAGGGCTCACACAGGTTCGAAGAGTAAGCAAGTTGCACTGTTGCAGGATTTCTCTTTAGCAACAGAAATGACAGTTTGCCAAAATGTTGGTATACTGGAGATGACTAAAGATCAAACTTTCAGCTTAAAGGTATCAATAGGATCTGAAGATATCACCCATGCGGTGTTGGCTGGAAAGGTCAGGCCTTTGGTTTGCTCCCACAAGGTCATGGTTTCAGGGATTTCTAGATATCCGAAAACAGGATTTGGAGTTATCGGGCTATTAGTTGCAAAGAGAGAAAATGGCGGATGGAACTAACAACTTATATGCCTCAAGGACGGTGAACTGCCTGAAGGAAAGACAGCAAAGATATGAGACAAAAGTCACAAAACCAAAGGAAACAAGGAGACCAGGAAAATAAACAAATAAAAGAAAAGGCCTAAATTATTTCAATAAACTAACGTAGCAATCAAGAAGGAAAAAGAAAATGATATAGTTGTAAGCATAAGCAATCTCGCATACTATGGACAAAAAGAGGTTTATCGCGAAATTGTTTGACTCTATGGACATACATATCAAAATTGTCATTTTTTATTACTTTGTATTCAATGATAGAGGACACCTTGTCCCTACACTCTAGTATTATTCTTGTATTCTCTCTTTCTCAGCAGTAAAGGTTTAAAAAAAAAATGGAACAACAAACTCAAAAGTTCATAGAGGTATATATAAATTAAGAGTTAAGAAAAAGGCAATAGGAAGTAGGAAACAGATCGGTGATTTATGAAAATAAACAAACCGTATTAAGAGCCATCCTCTTTTTATCAATTGGCTTTATAACTATGTTAAATGAAATTAAAAATTGAGCAGCTGCTAGGGAATTACAATTCCAATGCTTAATGGTAAACCTCAAATCAAAGAATGAGATGCCAATCTCATTCTTGAATATAGAACATCATCAACGACAGAAAATAATATCGAAGCTGGATCTGCCCCAAGAAACGGTATGCTAATAATGTATCCCACCCTAAAATTATAAAACATCAACGACAGAAAATATTGTTGAAGTTGGGTCTACCTCCCACATACTTCCTGTCCTTCAGACTACCTATAACTCTAAAAATGAACTACTGAAGCTTATTTTGGCCCAAAACTAGAAATTTTTGCCACACACTCCACATTCAACCAAAATTCACAAACAAGTTCACTTGTAAAAATTTTACTCTCGTTAGAGCCAGTCACTTAGGGGCAAGCATAAATTATAATATCTGAAATCCATTACAGCCTTTTCAGATGATTAAATTGCCCATAACTATATGAACAATATATACATACATACATACAAACATACAAATATATAATATCAAATTCGGTTACCAAGGTACCTCAACATGTAAACGATCAACATAAGCTCCGGATATCCAACCACCAACACGAAGAGCTGCATCTTCCCCTTCAACCACCTAAACGGCCAATACACAAACCAGAAACAACAGTGACAGTGTTTGGCTGCAAGCATAACGAGATTCTCACCTAAATTAAGTACAAAAACCCTAAGAAACAAAGCATTTGATCATATCCAATCAAAAGGAGCATAAAGAAATCAAAAATTCGTCACGATTCAGATTAATGGTAAGAAATCGTACAACAATGAGATCCTTGAGGTTATTGAGTTCCAAGAGCTCCAGAACGTAAGAGAGAACCGGCCGGTTCGCCACCGGAAGCAGCGCCTTCGGAACCTCCTGCGATCATTGGAGAGGACTGTTTGGTTAATAGGAAAATTTTTGTAAGCGAGAAAGAAAAGGCAAATTTCAAATAGAATCAAATAGAGCGAATATTTCGTTTGGTTCGAGAATCTGTGAATTTTGTTGGGGAATTGAAGAGGAAGAGAAAGAGAAAGCAGAAAAGGGAAAAACAAACCTTGGAGACAATAGGGACGAGATTCTTTGAGGTGCCTCCGGCTAAGACCACCACCTGAAAATCCATTGCAGAAGAAATTGGAGGAGAGAGAGAGAAGGGATTTTGTGGGGTTTCTTCCTTTCTCTCTCTTTCTTCAGGATTGTTGTGAAGGAGGGGAGAGAGAGAGAGAGAGACGATGAAGTTCAATCAAGCGTGTTTTTCACTTTTTTCTTTTTTTTTTTTTAATAATTGGACGTGTTTTTCACAATTAACCGGAGGGGAAATGCTTCTATTCTTTCTTCTGTATAATTTTGATGATTTAAAATTATCCTTCTGTTTTAAAATTCGTGATACATTAAACGTCATTTATATCCCTCTGTTGATTAATTAATTAAAAATTGATAAAATTTAAAATTCTCTCTGTAAATTTTTAAAAATATAAAACTTCAAAAAAAAAAATTTAGACTCGATATCAAATTTTGATCTCGTTCATTTTACCAATTCAAATTTAAAATTTGAATTTTACTACAGTAAAAAACTCTCAGAAATAATCATATCTAACTTTTTTACTACAGTAAAAAACTCTTACATTAAGTCACATCTCAACTTGAATTAAAAACTCAAATTCACGAACTAAACAAACCCTTACTCACCGCCTAATGATCCCCTACTTGTAGAGCTCGAAGTGGAACTAGCACACATGGGCTTGAGCAGGCTGGGGTATGCCCTTATATCGTACTTTGATATATGTTTAGTGTTTAAACTAATCAACCATTAAATATAACATTGTATGGGAGAATTCTTATTCATTTTTGAGTAAGAACTTAACATTATATTGAGGATACCTTAAACTCTAAATATTTTAATCTTTAAAAGAACAAAATAAAAAAAAGAGTCCATAAAAGCTATTTTTAGTTATATTTAAGATTATTGTCACTGGTGTCTCTAAATTTTAAGATCATTTTCAGTTTATCTCATGAACTTTAAAAACTCACACTTTACCCTCTAAACTTTAAATTGTTCCCATTTAACCCCTTTTGCTATAATTTCTATTAAAAAATGATTAAAAAAAGAGAGTAATGCAATCGCGTGGTATTTTTATTTAAATTTCTGTTAGAAACAAACATATAAAAACCACATATCAACACTTAACCTCCTTTTTTCCGTATGGTTTTAACAGAAATTGCAACAAAAAGAGTTAAGTGAGAACAATTCAAAATTTAGAGAACAAAATAAGAGTTTTTAAAATTTAAAAAATAAACTGAAAATAACTCTAAAATTCAAGAGCACCGGTGATAATAATCCATATTTATTTAGGTTTTCAACTTATTTTCCCATTAATTTCTCTAGTGACTAAAATGCCCCTCATTCACTCGTGCTAACCGATGATCACACACACTGGGATCACTAGTAGGTAATCCACTGGTTACCTAAATATAGTCGAAACATGGTACTTTCTTTGGTCTTTCTTTTTCTTTTCTTTTTCTAAATTCTTGATGTTTTGTTTATCTATTATCTATAACGTATCAGAGTATACCATTTACAATGCCGTAGGAAAAGAATAGAGACAAATAAATGTACAAAAATGGCATATTCTACACAGTAATACATGTATAAAATGTTGATACTCTTCACAACCACCCTATTCTAGCTAAAATGCAATAGTTGAAATCCTTGTCTTCTGCCAATTTTAAAGGTCCCTCATAAAGACAGTTTGATCATGGATTTGAACAATGGCAATGAGGATTTCTTTCAGCTCTTCTACAAAACCACAACTCCTCTCGGGGGCTTCTTCCGTCGGTGCACAACATGGTTGTCATAAATGGTTATGAATGCTATTTTTCCGCTCTATATATAGTTATACTTCACAAGCACGCGTGAAATCAAATGATTTGAGATAAGCGTCCAGAAATGGCAGTTCCACATCTACAACGCATGGTAAAAGACTAAAATCAGTAATAGTATGTACATTTTTCCCAGACTTCAATAAATAAATTGATAATGCACTTATATATCGAATGAAATCAAGGCAACGAGAAAACTGAAATTTATTGCAGACACTGTCAAGGCTTCGGTTCATTCAAACTTGGATGTTCCAAGTACAGCTGCACACAGAGAGGTTCGCTGCTCATCGACTTAATCGGGGTTATTAATGGAGGTTGCTGCCACTGTTTTGTATCTGTTGGGATCCATAACTCCGACGTCTTACTCGAACTCGCCTCAGGAAGGGATCGAAAATAACCAGTGATCTCCCACCTGCAATCTAAAGTGAAGAGAGAACCTTTCACACCCCACTTCAACATACTTGAGATAGAAGGATTAAACTACTAAAAAGGTCCAGAACTACAGTGACTTTTCAGCGTCTGATTAACGTCTTAAGCTGAGGCATAAAACTGATGCCATATGTCAAAATGTAGTAGTAGAATTACCGTGAGAAAGAACTTTTGTAAGTGGTTCCGAGACTGAGAGCTTCATTAGAAATGACCTAAGGGAGAACTCCAAATCAGCATCTTCCACCTTTGAGCTAGAAGCCTGGTTCACCGCGAGCTTGAACATAAATCTTTCCACTGGGATGTTGTCAGTGTTGAAGAAGATAACAGCTACTCTTTCAACAAGACCCTAATTTGAAAAAGAAAGAAAGAAGAGGGAAAAAAAAAAGGATCTTCTGTTGTAGTGAAATTGCTTTGGAAGGTCAATAGGAGAACAATGCCGAAAAAAGAAAACATTAACGTAGATGCTCTATTTATCTACAAAAGATTTGGGGGAAGTGTGAAGCTCTAAAGACAAGATCCTATGTTGGCTAAGAATATCAAAATAAGAAACTTCTAGACGATCAAGTATACTAAGGGGGGGAAAAAATTCATATTATACACGTAAGATAGGAGGAACTAAAGCAAGTAATCAGTGACAACATTGGAATACCCATTTATCCTCACAAGGTTTTTTTTTCTGAAAAGTCAAATCATCGAAGAGAAAATTTCACGAGAGCAAACCAGTAAAACCAAAAGCGCACCAAACAGAGCATATCAGTTGCACAAAAGCATATGAAGCAATCAAGAATCCACAAAAAGAATGCGGAAGAATGATTTGAAATGGTCAATATTTTAAGAAAAAGTTCAGCAATGTCCTACCAAGGAGAAATACAATTGAATTCCTCTTAGGGTTTTCATGTACCTGGTTCAGTTTTCAGTGCAAATATATTAAATATCATTTACAATAACAAACTTAGAAGTTCCCTTTCATCAGATAGAACTTTCTTAGATAGAAGCCCGTCCCTCTAAAACTAACATTGCATCATGGAACCACAGCCCTAAAGGTGGTAACAGAGTCGGAAACCCTGGACGTTTTGTGATACATGTAGCAGGGTCGTTAGATGAACCCATTGAAAACTTGAAAGTGATGATCTTGGTGAACACGATAGAATTGGATTATAACTTAGATGTAATATCTTTTTTTTTCTTTTTACTTTTTATTCCCCACAATGCCACTGAAACAGTTCCTTTGAAATTTGGTTCCATCAAGCAAAATTATTTGCCTCTTTCTACACCAACAGATCTTGGGTTACCTCTATAATTTGTAAATAGTATGTAACTGAAACAATATTGGCAATTACGAGGGGGAAAAAAAAAACCTGGAAAAGCAAAATTCTGGGATCTCCTAGTAAGCAAGTTGAAGAAATTCTGAAACTTAAATGGATGTATATGCAACTATAAAAGTAAATCCAATCATGGGGAGAAAATGCAGGGAAAGAAAATTTGGAACTTTTAACTTTGTAAAGAACTATGTTGTCAAAGAAACGAGTCCAAAAAAAAAAAGGCTAAATGCAAAGTTGTAGGGCACTTCTTAGTTCTTACTTAGACACGGCAAACAAGCATTACAGTTTACAATCTAGTTTCAATTTCACAGCATCTCTAAGCGTGATTAGTAACATCTATGTATATATGTGTCTATTATATATATATATATATATATGTATGTATGTATGTATGTATGTATGTATGTATGTACAGACGCACACAATATATATGTATGTATGTACATAAAATAGAAGTAAAATTCAAACACGAACAAGGGCCAACCTTTTCAATAAAAGGAAGAAGTCCAAAAACAGCAGAATGGATATAATCTCTGAGGTCAGGATGACGAGCCCTCTGAACCACTAAATTCATATACCTCCTCCTTTCAAATGCACCTTCAAAAAGAAAAAACAATAAAAAAATTAAAAAAAAAAATTCCATATTCACCATCACTCAAAAAACACTTCCAATATGAAAACCCAATTACGAAATTTGACACAGTGAAGCCACAGCCAAGCTTTTTTCTCAAGTTTCTGGTTGAGGAAGAAGGTTTTCCTTTCTTAAGTCACACCAGATAAAAAAAATTTCTTGGCAACCAAACATGCCCAAAAACAAAAAACAATAAAAAAAGTAAGTTAAAGGGTGTTAGAAGCAAACCGGAAGGATAAACGCCTTTGAGGAAAACAATTGAAGTGATAGCTACTTCCAAGAATTCTACCAGAATCCGAGCTGACCCATCTACACAATTTTGTTTTTCAGTTAATTACAGTTGCAAAAAGCAAATTATACGAGTAAACGAAATTGATGGTAATAATAAATAAATAAATGAATTAAAAAAATATAGGGAA